CCTTGGAAAACAGAAGAATGTGGTCGAGCCTGTGAGGTCAGCGCAGAGCGCACTCATCCGCTCCAGTTGCCTTAACACAGCATGAATGTCTGTATAGAAAAAGCAGCACAGCAGTTTGTCACCTCACCCACACTGTGATTTCTGAAAGACATCGGAATGTTCAGAATTACATATCCAGACACATTTTCCATGATGAATGTCAGGGAGCAGGTATGAAGCTTATCTGAGGAGCTGACATGATCTGTGGGCATGTAACGATAACAGCGACATTGTAATATAGACATAGTCATTTTATGATCTTAAAAGAGGCACATCTCGGTTAAAAAACATTCCTTTTCGTCCCGCTTCAGCCGAACACATCGTGAACTACAGTACATAGAGCATGATACTTTGAGCGGCTGAGCCAACAGGAACACATGATACTAGATCGGGCTAGCTCATTTATTTGTCACTGCTATTATTACGTAAATATTGTGACATTTCATGAGATTATCTATTTATTTTACATCATGAGTATCGTGAGCTTTTTTATATCACCAACCTCCCCACAATATCGTGACAATTATTGTATTGTGCTGTTCTTATCGTGATCTTTTTGTATTGTGACGTTTGGATATCGTTACATCCCTAATAATAGGAGAGTTCTAGCCACTAGAATATTACAACAGAAGGTGGTTATTTCGGGTGGTAGGATGAGAGGGTGCAGAGATTACCTGACTGGGAAGTCAGCAGCAGATGAAGCCTACACAAACAGTAATGGGGGGCATTTGCCACTTTCTGCTAGGACAAAAGGGCCTCAATACCGGCTGGTGTTAAGACCATAGCCTGAAGCAGGTCTGAGAGTGAGATGATGCCCTTCAGCATGTCAGCTCTGTCCACGAGCACCAACCGGTGGACCTGCGATGCACAGAAAAAGAACACAAACAACATGTAAATATTCTGACGTATTTCATGCTGTGGACCGACACACCCACCTCAGCTGCGACAATGCGGTCTATGATGGTCTCCAAGGTTTCATCTGGATAGCACTTGATCACACCCTCCATGAAACATGTGCGCCTATCGAGAGCCTCGAGCATTGTCACATCCAGATTGTTGTATGTCTTCTGGGCTGCAAGATTCTGCCACCGAGGGCGTGCCAACATGCAGTGCACAATCAGAGTGCAACAGAAAGGAGCAGAAGACAATTGTTTTTCGGGAATGAAACATCTCCGAAGTACTTACAATGACATCGAATCGTGAGTAGAGTGCCACAACTTTGCCTGGTTGGAAAAAAAAATACACCATGGGAAGAAATCTGTGGAGTTGGGTGCCTTGCTATGTATGCAGAGGTTTCAATCTTTCAAACGCTCTCAGCCACTGTTGCAGCATATGACATTATATTACTAGATAGCACTTGATTAGTGATCAAGTGCTATCCAGATGAAAAAAAAAAGCATACCCTTTTCATCAACCACCGGAAGCGCTGACACCCTCCTGTCCACAAATATGTCAAGAGCATCGAAAAGCGTTGCTGTTTGCTGAACTGTGGCAATGTTCCTGAAAGTTCCAATTCCCATCTCTTGGATCTGCCTCCGAATGAAAGCAGGCTTTGGAACCTTTTCTCCCTGCAGGGGAACACAGTTCCATTCAATCGCACGGGACAAATCATTCATCCAGATCTGTCAGATTCTTTGATTAATGATGAAATGCTTGCTCACAAATATATGGAGGAATTTAAGAATTCTCTTGTGTGTAAGAATGTGCAGGACATTCCCAGATGTTGGCTCAATGATGGGCAGTCTGTGGATCTTGTGTTTGAGTAAGGAATAGATGGCATCAAAGAGACTTGCAGAAGAGAAAAGAGTGTGTGGGCACGTGCAAAGTCCAAAGTGCAAAGCAAGATGCCTTCAAATGTAAAGTTTGAACGAGCCCAAGGTGATTGCCGTGTTCTCACCTGGCATCTGGTGAAATACTAATCAGAAATGGACAGGAACACTTTAAATAGACATCTAAACAAGAGGAGGCAAAAGCAATCTCAGCAAATTTACGAACTTGCGCACACACAAAATGGTGAATGGACACTTTTATGGTAAATATAGAGCATCAGTCTCTGGTTGGATGTGTTGTGGTTGTTTATCACAGACGTCGGTTATTAGTACTAAAATGACTAACCTCTCCATGTCTCAATCTTGTGGTTCTCCAGCTCATACATCTGCACCTTGTAGGAGGAACCACAATCTTATGGAATCATAGTAGATCGTCCATTATTCGCCAATCAGTCATTTAATGGCATGACTAACCATTACACTCCCCTCAATAATTACATTCCAAAAGTGAGGCGAATTCCTAGACTGAAAAGTTATGTATGTATGATGTGAATACCTCCAAATAAAAGCCAGAATATTTATCCTGATGTTACATCCTGTGGCGGCACAGTGGACGATTGGTTAGCATGTCCGCCTCACAGTGCAAAGGTGCAGGGTTCCGGCTGTGGCCTTCCTGTGTGGAGATTGCATGTTCTTCCCATGCCTGCGTGGGTTTTGTCCGGGTATTCCGGTTTGCTCCCACATTCCAAAAACAGGCATGGCAGGTTGATGGAACACTGTAATTTGTCACTTGGTGTGATTGTAAGTGCGGATGGTTGTTTGTCTGCGTGCCCTGCGATTGACTGGCAACCAGTACAGGGGTGTCCCACGCCTCGTACCCAAAGACAACTGGGATAGGCTCCAGCATGCCCCGTGACGTTACATCATTTTCAAGTCAAACTCAAATGTTTTCAGACTATACAGCAAAATGAAAGGAATTGCTCCCACGGTTGCAATACTTTTGGAGGGGAATGCATACTATTGCTCTGCACCAGGGGCCCCCAACCTTTTTTGCCCCACGGACCGGTTTATGTCAAACAATATTTTCAGGGACCGGCATTTAAGGTGTGGTGGAAATAATACAAGAAATTAATATGATATGAGCTCCATGAAAACTGTGGCGTTTTCGAAATATAATAATAAACACAAGGAGCGTCTAATCTGGCCGCAACACTCCGATCGCTATGGCAATGTTTAATGCCTTCAAAATACGATAAAAGTGCATGAAAATGACGACTCACCACAGCACCGAGCTTGATTTTCTGCAATCAGACGGTCCCATCTCGGGGTAAAAGGAGACAATGACACCTCAAGTGTGTGGTTTATGTCCAGTCTACTTTGTAATTTTGTTTTCGTCGCCGTTGCTGCAGAAACCCCCCGCCTCACACAGGTAGGGTGTCGGAAATAGCAACAGTGCTATTGTGGCGATCTCAGAGAATTCAGCCATAACTTTAATCCAGTTGTCTCGAACGTACTTTTAAGGCCGCCGTGATTTGCGATCTCCAGCAGTTTTTTTACTCGTTTTGCGAGCTTCTGCGTTTTGTTTTGAAGTAGTCGGTCACGTGATGGAGAAGCGTGGCTTGACGTGTGTCAAGCGTGACACAGACGGATGTAACGGAGAATCCGGTAGTTTTTCAAAATAAAACATCTTTCGTATTCCGAAATAAAACTGAATTAAGGCAAGTTCTTTCTGTGCGGCCCGGTACCAAATGCCCGGCGGACCGGTACCGGTCCGCGGACCGGCGGTTGGGGACCCCTGCTCTACACTACTAAGAGAGTTAAAGTCATTATTTCTAATCTTACCAAAGGGGATTTGTAGTAACAATGAATGATGTTGATGAAATCTGTAATAGTCAGCATACCTGTGAGTGAATAGAACACATTTCTCTTTTTTTGCAATTCAAGTTTATTTATGCAATTTCGACCACCTTACCCACAAATCTCTTCAGCTCGCTGTCCCATAAAGGTGCAGCCCTCAAGCTGTTTGCCACCAGTGCAAAAAAGGCCTTTTGCACCTTGAAGGAAAAACACAAATTAGGGTCTCAGTTGATATGCTGCCATTTTTTGGTGCACATGACCAAATAGATGAACAAGGCCGAGAGAGTACTTACTTTAAGCTTGGTATCAAATATGACCAATTTACAACTTGTTGGAATGGCATCATAGCAACAGTGACTCTTCATAAAATCCATGTAGACGGTGGCCTCTAAATGGTACATGCATACAATCCATCTTATTTTTGCATCGTAAAAAATGTGGCAACAAACTACAAGTATCGCAGTCTGACCATCTTTCTGTATTCCTTTCTTTGTTTGGACCGAAACCTGAAAACACCCGGCGACATGAGACAATCTCGGCGTGACGTTGTCAAAATGAGTAGAAAGCTCCTCAACGCACAAAACAACACCACAATCATATTGACAATGTTGTCTACCTGTAAGGAAGCCTCCATAATTCCGCTGCGTCCATCAAAAAACGTTTTAGGAACCAATAAAATACACGGCGTCCCCTCCCCTTAAGTCCTCGCTCTTTCCCAGGAAGAGGTTGGTACTATTTTGGGTCTTGTGCAGTGGTGTCAAGCTCATGGCACTCGCACAGAGGTGGTGTGTGTGTGTGTGTGTAGGGGGGGGGGGTGTCCACACCAGACAAATGTTCCCCGTCCTCAAATAATTCCTAAAATAATATAGTATGTGCCAAAACAAATATAAGTGTGGGTACAGCCGGATGCTCGACACTTTAGTACGCCCCCTTCCCAAAAGGTCGCCTATTTTCAATTTCTCAGTAATCACAGAAACACCTCTGCATTTTGATTACTCCAACTTCTTATTCCTATCATAATTTTTTTTCTAAAATTGAAGCTAAGACTTTCACAGGTTTGTACTGATTTTCTGCAACTATAGTCATAAAAAAATGTGAGCACATATATAATTTGCACTCAATTAGCCAAATTTGCAATTGTGACAGAAAATATTGATTTGACAGGCAAGTCAAAGCTTTCCTCATAAATTTGTTTGGGTGTACAGTACTCGTGTATATGTTTGGTGAGGATAAGTGATTCAGAGAATAAATGAATGGATGGAACATAAAAACATCAGAGATTTATGCCGAAGTGATTTTTTTATCTGTCTACAAGTTGATGCTGACAAAGAAATATGTAACTTCAAGAAAGTAATTCTTTATTAATTTAGCTCACTTACTTGACAATATTTCTGTTTTACATGGGTGTACAAAATTAAGGACATTGTGCTTCCAAGTATATCAAATTGTCAAAATAAAATGTCCTATCATATATTCCCGGGCACAACTTTGGCTTTGTCAGGAACACAATCTTAAAAACCTGCGCGTCAATCCTTTACCGTCCAAAAGATCAATATTTCAGTAACTGGTACGTCTAAAGTAAAATGTGCTGTTGCAACAGACACGTGACCAGGGAAGGTACACAGCAGCTAGATTGTTAGCATGCTAAATTAGGTGGCATTATGGAACAAAACACGCAAACAGCCCCAGGAAATAGGAAACTACTCAGTAGGAATTTATCATACTACCCTGTCGTGGGAAGATGTTCATTGCTTCAGCAGGAGGTGTTGAATTATGATCATCATTTCCATTTAAAAAGAGTTGCAGCATGATGTGTATGAACATGACCTGTTTGACCTTCCCCCCAAAAAGCTGTAAGGGAAAAAAAAGGGTGATCAATATGACCATAAAGCTATTTACGTTTCTTCTTCTCACCAAGCACCATCGCTTAAACTCAACATACTCAAACCCTTCTCAAATGAGACCGTATCACTCAGAACACACGGATCAAGACCTCCCATCTTCAAACCAGTAACAGAAACCCTCAAACTTCTCTGAAAAGAAGTTAGGATTTCTGTGGTCAAATAAAGTGACTATACTGAGCATCTCATGTCTGAGATGTGTTTGTGCACCATATCGAGAATTACACAAGGTGGGGATAATTTGGAAAAAAAAAAAAAAAAGCAGTGCTGGTTTCTTTTGCCGAATGATGATCAGCAGTGGAGTCTGCAGTGTGCTAGCCGGTCAAGAGGAGAGCTTGTGTCTTGTCTTCAGGTAACAGAAACTTTGGATGACAAGGTCTCAGCTGCCCAAGCGAAAACACCTCGTGGTGAGAATTTTGACTCGCTTCAGCGCCTCCAATCAAGATGGAGGCCAACCATGATGTAAGACTGGTGAATATAGTGGAGGTGTTACTCAGCATGCTCTCAGAGGTCGAGAGGTTGCGACGACAGCCCGGACAAAAGGTGGAGGAAGTGCACCAGGTTTCAGGAGACTCCAATGGTGTTTCTAGCTGTACGGAGCCCACAGAGGTAAGCAGTGAACCCCACAGACACAACACTGATGCCTGCGGGGTGGTGTGAAGCGAAGCCGCTCCGAGCGCGTTGGTGTGACGGTTCAGACTCTCGTTGGACAGAGTGTTACAGGGGAGTGGCTGGGGTTGAGCGGGAGCATCAGGGTTTGGGAGTGTTGAAGTGACTTCGCCCGGGGGTGTCATCAGAGTCTGGCCACTTGGACAGAGACTGAGCTGGTGGAGCACAGTGCTTGAGGCAATGAGACCTGCCACACTAGTCAGATACAAAAAGCCAAGCATACAGGAAACCTAGGGGAAAACAAAAGAAAACATTGAATGGTTCAGGTGACAATTATAATTTTGGCGGGGATAACAAGCAGTACAATTTGGATCAATGTAAAAAGGAAAAACACATTAAATATTAAACCAGTTTTCAATTTCCCTCCGTTGATATATGTCACTTGAAATGTATGAGAAAAGATAAAGTCCAAAAAAGGTCTAAAATCAAAATTGAACCCTCGAATGTGCAGTGCAATAAATCCAGCGGAATCAAGGTCCCTGTCTATTTGACAGGGGGATGAATGGATGGATGGCTCCATACTACAGTGAAACTCCTCTACAACGAAATCATGTTTGCAGCAAGAAATTTTTCACAACAGGGGGTTTTTCACTGTAGCAAATTTGATCTCAGATGTAAGCACACACACACCCACACCCACACACACACACACAAACGTATGTGTACTCTATTTTTATTCCAATAGTGCATAAGTATGAGCACACACTTATTTGACACTTCATATTGTCAATGGAGAAAGAAAAAAAGGAAAAGAAATTGCGAAATTTACGATCACGATTCACTTTCACTTACATCAATTTCTTGGATAATGTCTTTTATTTTGCTTGCTCCGTCTTTCATTTTGATCCCTCTCTTCCAGCATCAGAGCTCTTCTTGTCTTAGCTGCTTGACATTCAAACGTCCGTTTTGTAGCCATTTTAGCAATGCAACGTCCATCCTCGTCTGAAACTAACAATAACAAATACTTCCTGGCATGCAATGAACTTTTAAGCCAGCCACGGGACGCTTCGTAGTCCTCGATGGCCATAGTTAGCTCTCGAAGGCTAAAAACCTTACGCTAACTGGAGCACTAATGAGAGAGAAGCGTTCCAGTTAGCGTAAGGTTTTTAGCCTTCGAGAGCTAACTATGGCCATCGAGGACTACGAAGCGTCCCGTGGGTGTTTTTAGCATGATAACAAGTAAAGCATTCGAGGAAACGTTCTTTTATTTTAATGTCCGTCAAGCCATAAGCAATTTACTCCGAGCAGCTGATCGGATGCTACGGATCTAGCTTCAGTATCTACACACATAGACAGTGAGGTCCCTCTTGGCCAATCGGAGGCCAGGATGATGCTCGGTAAGCCAATGGCAGAGCAGCTATGAGTATGTTGAGTCCAGGAAACTCGCAGCTGTGACCGAAATAAACATCATTCACTATGTAAACCAGTGTGGTGGTTGCTGCTGCCTTTTTTTGAACAAAGCAGTAGAGGTTGCTGTTGGATAAGACTTCATTGTAGTGAATGTCTTCGCGAGGCTCGAGCAGAGAAAATGATTTCGTATAACGCAACAGGGGGGTTTTCGTCATATGGGGGGCAGTAGAATGGGAATTGTGTTAATGCATGAAGATTTTTCCACATAAGGGGGTATTTTCGCCCATGTAGGTTTCGTTCTAGAGGAGTTTCACTGTAGTATGATACAACTAGACTACATGCAAAGCTGAGCTGTTTGTTAACTTGTTCTGGTTCACCAGCAAACAAACAGAACAAAAGACACAAACCATAATTTTTTTTCCACGCTAGTTTTATCACTGCTCTCCAGTCCTTCACATGACGGCGCAACGATCCTGCCAACGCGGCTGTGTATGTAACTGTTTGTGCTCTGTTGTCTGTATCTTGAGGCGCAGGCTGAATAACGTGTGCAACTGCATTTATGAGGCAGTCAATTTTCCCCAAACGTCTCTGTTATGTGGATCCACCACACACCACAAAACTGAGTGAGGTGGTGACTTATTGGACAAGACCAATACCGGTCCAGGGCCTAGCAAGCTAATGGCCCTTGTTCGCCCACGGACCGGGCCCAGGTTGTCTGGAACCTCGGCATTCAGTGCTTACGTAATGGGGCAGAGCCGACTAATGCCAGAAAGCCCAAGTACATACCTTGGGCTTGATTTTAGCCATCCCCCCCAAAATCTGGAAAAATGGTGAAAAGGACTTTTAACGCGATAGCGAAACAATTTTTGCACGAAATTGTTCTCAATCTTTACATGTTTTCAGCACGTATTAAACATATGCAAGAAAAGGTAGGTTGTGCAGGTTTTTTGTATTCAAAACACAGCTTGCGGCAATGCATTTGGTGCATGTATCAGTTTTTGTTCACAATTTATCTTAGTAACACTGTGATAATACTGAGAATTGTGACCATTTCTGTCACTGTCATTGTGATGTTAAATACTGCTTGCATTTCATCTTTGGCCTTTTCATTTTGTTTTTGTAATTCGAACAAGTGATCATAAACGACTTTTACAAGTTACAATCAAAAACATCTCCCCTGTGAATAAAGCCACTCACACTTGCAAGTCCTGTATGCTCCTGCTCACCTTGATAAAGTGCTGGTAGAGAGCTCCAAGTGTTTGGCTCCACACCGATTGCTCGAGCAGCACACAGAGGTCAGTGTAGGTAAACCAGCCTCGCGTCATCCCCTTACGCTCGGCAATGCTGTGAACGCAAAATGACTTGTTTCACATAAAACTCTTAATTTGCCAAGTAAGCATTTGAACTTTGAAGGTACACAGACCTGCTCTCGAGTTGGCTCAGTGTATCCAAGAACTCATTTGACCCAGTGAAGAGACTCCAATCCTGCAAAATTAGCACAAGGATAAGAACAAATAACAAGCAGGTACGGGCTACAGTACATCGGCAAACTCTGTAACTTACAATAGCGTTCAGGAAATTCATTTCCAGATTATTGACTGATTCGACATCCAGTTTTCCAGCTGCTCCCCACTCATCATTGAAGACCTCCTCTTCTTCTCCTTCATCGTACAAATACTTGCTGGCAACCATCTAACAAAGAGTGGCAGATAAATGCATTTGTCAACGCAATGAAGACACTCAGAATAAATGGAAATTTAAGGCATATTGTTTGTGCTGAGCAAAAATGTCCGGAGAATATACTTACTGGACATGTTAGGGAGAGTCCACCTTCCATTATATATTATTTGTGTACAGTATATATTCTGCATTCAAGTATATAGCGAAGCGAAAATGTAATCAAGGGTCCATAAACACATTCTTTCATATGATGGCTGCAGCACTTAGATGTGAGGAGATAAAGGAGAGCTCACAGCTTGTGGGCGCGCTACATTTCAAACATCCAGTGCAGTGTGAGTCTCTCTCACAATAAAACAGAATCCATAAATGGCCTTGGAGTGGAACATTTCGACCAGCTGATGCACATTATCAACGCAAGAAGCTGACGGGGCCATCAACCAGACAGTTGGGAAAAATGAACCACAGGAGACGGACAGATTGGAAAAGTGATGGGGCATTCGAGTCCCTGATCACATCTGTACTTTCATTCATTCATCTTCCGAACCGCTTGATCCTCACTAGGGTCGCGGGGGGTGCTGGAACCCATCCCAGCTGTCTTCGGGCAGTAGGCAGGGGACACCCTGAATCGGTTGCCAGCCAATCGCAGGGCACACAGAGACGAACAACCATCCACGCACACATTCACACCTAGGGACAATCCAGAGTGTTCAATCAGCCTACCATGCATGTTTTTGGAATGTGGGAGGAAACCGGAGCACCCGGAGAAAACCCACGCAGGCCCGGGGAGAACATGCAAACTCCACACAGGGAGGCCGGAGCTGGAATTGAACCCGGTACCTCTGCACTGTGAAGTCAACGTGCTAACCACTGGACTACCGGGCCGTCCTACATCTGTACTTATTCTAGGATAATCTAATCTGAATTTTTATTTCAATTTCACACGCACGCACACACAAAAAGAGTATACAGTACATATCTAAAATGACCCGCGACCACAGACACATACCATGGAGATGAGGAAGAGGTCAGAGGAGGAGATCTTTTGTAAGTATTCCGGGTTTCTATTTCGGAGCCTTTCAATGTAAACCAGCGCCAGCATCATGGCACACGGTGAAATACAAGCCTCCCTGGAGCAAAAACAATACAATTTCTGGTAATATGAAATTTGTTGCTTTCTTTGAAAATGCATAACAACTGTATAACACGTGTTGCATACCTGGAGACATGAACAGCGTATTTCTTGTGGAGTTTCCTTATTGGGCTTGGTGCAGATTTCCGGAAGAGTTCAACGGCAATGTCTGAAGGATATGACAGTCAATACTTGTGCAATTTATTACTCGTCCACGGTTTAAGACTGACAACAAACTATTATTTTACGCTACTTCCCAATTGTTAGGGAAATTGGGCTTTTGGGTGAAATTGCAGGATGACTCTACAATACTCAACTCAACTGTATTTATAGAGCACTTTCAAACAGCCATCACTGCATACAAAGTGCTGTACATGGAGCAATTCAACATATACAACAAACAGTAAAGCAAATTGGTAATAAAGACGGTAGAAAGCACCGAACAGCAAAACCAAGAACAAATCTAAGTCATGCTGAGTCAAATGCCAAAGAATACAAGTGGGTTTTGAGGCGAGATTTGAAAATGGGCAGCGAGGAGGCTTGCCGAATGTTCAGTGGGAGGTCATTGCAGAGAGAGGGACCAGCAACAGAAAAGGCTCGATCCCCTCTGAGCCTTAGTTTAGTTCTTGGTACTTCTAATAATGTCTGGTCCGCAGACCTGAGGCGCATGTGAACATAATTTGACCTTCTCTAAAGTTTTGAAGGCACATGTCCAGCTGTTCATTTTTTTTTTTTTTGACTCACTCTCCAAAAAATGTGGGTACCGTAATCATCAATATACCGTTTTAAGACTGAGGCGGCTGCAGAACAGGAGCCATGATAACAAGGAGTGTCGTTTTTGACAACATTCCTCATGTCTTGTTGAACTAGTGAGGATACTTTGCTAGTTATGCATTAGCTCTGAAATAGGTTACATGGTCAGTTATCATCATGTTGTTTCAATGAATAACTACCGTATTTTCATGACCATGAGGCACACATTAAAGTCTTGAATTTTCTCCAAAATGGACGGGGGACTTGATAATGCAACGTGCCTTGCGTATGCACTTAGTTCCAAAATCTGTGAATGCTGTTGTGTGACTTCGATGAGCGCTGCGCTTGACTGACTGATGTTGCTTATATAGAGGAAAGGCAGACGTAACTGAGGGCAGCATGCGCACGTTAAAGTGGGAAGGGTGGGCCTAAAACAGGACTCTAAAGGCCCACTCTTGGTAGGTGTACATAGTGCCAAACGTACATCGAGTAAAACAACATCCCGAAAATGGCACCTACGATACGTTTTCGAAGCACAGTTTAAACTGCAAGCTAATCGTTATGCGGATGACCATTCGAATTGAGCAGCCACGAGAGAATTCAAGATCAGCTCATCCATCCTGCTTGGTGCTTTTGTTTTATGAAACTGCGCCATCTATCCAACCAGGCAAGGACGACCGTGGCGCAGCGGACTACAAGGAAAAGCTGGCCAACAACTGCAGTAAAAATGTAACGTTCTGCGTTACATTAAATAAAGACACTTTCTTGTAGATTTTAATGCTTTATTCTGTCGCTATGCCAGCCTCACTTGACTTCCATTACCCACTGTTCTCCCAACCAATCCCCACATTTCTAAATACTCACTTGAACTACGACAAGTGATGATTTCAAAGTCAAATGATCAAAATATTCACCAATCTTCCAAATGATAGCAGTTTCTGAATCCGTGTTTAATTCCCTTTCCAACACTACCTATTCTTTGAACACTGACCCAGGAGTTCCTGACATACAGTAGAAGGGGTCAACTATTGGTGGCCGCGCCCCTTTTGCTGAAAACATCACTCCATTGACCAAATATTAGGTCAGCTTTGAGTTGTGCTGCCTTAAATTTCACCGCAAAGCCCAGTATCTCAAACGTTTGGTCAATAGCTCACGTGAAAGACAATAGATCCACGTTGTAAAAGTCAGTTACCTGTCATAGGAGAAGAGAGTACTTCAAGTGACACATCACGATCCAATCCATAATAAAGTCGCTTTCTCAGTCGTTCAGACAACCTTCGTTGTCCGGGTAGGAACTGCAAACAAAGCACGCTTCAGGTTACATAAAGCGTCATTATGTAGCTGTCACTTCATGACTTAATTGGCTTCACAATGCTGTTAGCAAATGTATGAAGACTACATTCATTATGGTAACCACTATTACCGAGTGTGCGTACTTGTGGTACATAACGCTCAGCGGCAGGCAAAAGACCAGAGTCCGCGAAAATACAGTCCAACGAATGGTTAACACTTGCAGGTTCTAGATAAACCTGTATACAATTAGGTCAGAGCCTGTTTAGCTGACACGGAAAACACTTTAGAGGCTAAGGTAACTTTTCTAAACGGATCCAGATGACACAAACATGAAAACATTCACCGACACTGAAGGAACAAGCTAATATAGCGCTTAGCTAGTTAGCTTCTCTTCCGGAGTTGAGGGAATAGGACAACCTACCGTAAACTCGCGGAAGTCCGAAAATTGGATAGCTGTATCGTTAAATAAAAAGTCGAAATCCATAGCTCTGTTTAGTAAAGTTTCAACATGTATCCAGGACGACGTTCGAAAGTCAACTGCTTGGCCTGGTGACCGGCCTCGCTCCACCAGAACCGCGAAAAGAAACACACCCCGCGTTGAACAGTGTGACGTCAGATACTCTTTGCAGCGGGTTTGTCTATAACTGACCAACAGGGGGCGCATAATACGATTTGGAGTAGACTCGTCTCCAATGAAATTTGCAAATCCTGGGAATGCGGAAGACAACATGCACACTCCACACAGCAAGGCAGGAAACCGCATCCCAATCCCCAGGCTCAGAACCTCCATGACGCTCGTGAAGTTTTTGATATTACATATATTTGACGAAAATACATATTCATCTAAGGTGAAATATTTTTGAATGAGTTATTAAGACTGTAACACTAAGAATTTAAAAGCACTGTGTAGTTTGTAGCGAGCATAAGGTCTGAAATGTAGCATAAAACGTACTGTTATACACTTATTTTATTGTGTGTGACTGGAAATGTAAACAAAATGCCAAACAAACGGGACCTCGAGCAGTACTGTACACGTGTACGACACTTGTTGAAATGTGTTTTTACAGCAAGAGCATCCCAGGCGCATTATCACAAAGCCTCAAACCCAGGGGCACAATGTATGGCTTTATTATTATGTCAATGAAAAACTTAATGAAACATTTCCACATCACCATTTTCAACATTTCCAGCATCCACAAAATCATTTATTTGCAGATGCCCCCTGCCCCCCAATATTTAAAAAAAAATATATATTTTGGGCGGTACAACTTCCATTTTTTTGTGTAAAACGCTTCTGGGCATTATATTCTGGTTTATTGACCAGTTTTTGAAGTTAGTAATGTAACACACACACACGCACGCACGCGCGCGCACAAACACACACACACACACACACACACACACACGCACACACACACACACACACACACACACTAATGCAATTACAACTGCAAACTGGATCCGTCCCTATTCCCAGTGAATAGCTGGTCTCCACTCTATTTACTAATATCACTTTAAATTAAGTTGAAAACTGAATGAAAATGGAGTGTGTATTAAACTCTTGATAAAATTCTGAGAACTATACCCTGACATAAATGGCAAAAACTAGTGTTGTGTGAGCGCTAGGGTGGTTTACATTGCACCAGTTAGAAAAAATTATGTATTTCATTCAGAAATGTAAAGACACCATTTGAATTAAAATTAAATAAATAATGAAGATACTTTCTATCGAGTTCAAATAATATCTAAACTGAAGGTCATCACACGAACTAAGGAACATTCAATGGCCATGGTGGCCCGAGGGAGTAGAAGGCGGCTGGAGTTTCTCAGACTTGAAATCTTTGGCTTCGGTGTCTGCTGAGGAATCAGAGGCCTGAGCCTGCTGTTGATTTGCCCACATGTCTGCATACAGGCCTTGCTTTTGCAGTAGCTCCTCATGTCTTAAACAGAAAGATGGTGACTTTATTACCGTTTCATTAAATACAAGGAAGTTGCCTGCCATTGAAAAACAGCGCTTACCGTCCTTGCTCAGCAATCCGACCCTTGTTGATGACAAGAATCTGGTCTGCTCCAATGATTGTGGACAACCTATGAACATAGCTTATTAGATGTGCTACAGGTCAATTGAAGACATGTGAAGGTATCTTTTACCTGTGAGCTACAACAATGGTCGTACGATTAGAACAGACTTTGGCTAATGAGGCCTGGATGTTTCGTTCCGTTTGGGTATCAAGCGCTGATGTGGCCTGTTGAGACACCATGTGTGGTCAAACAGGAAATGCTGCAAACCGAACAAAATGGAACCAGTTTGCCATGCTGTGATCGGCTCATCACCTCATCCAGCAGGATGATCTGTGGTGCCTTGAGGATGGTCCTAGCTATCGCCACCCTCTGCTTCTCTCCTCCACTCAGCTTTAGGCCTCTTTCACCCACCTGGGTATTATAACCTTCCACAGACAAACATTACCGGTACATGATATTGCACTTTTGTCAACCCAAATGATGAATCAGAACTGACAATTCTCAATCCACAAATCACCTTCAGGGAATGCCATGATTCTATCATGGATATCACCAGCGATGGCAGCCTCCTCCACCTCCTGGTCGCTTGCAGAAATGCGACCATAGCGGATGTTCTCCAGGATGGTGTCGTTGAACAGCACCGTGTCCTGGGGGACCACTCCGATGTGCGCTCGCAGAGATGTCTGCGTCACCTGAACACAACGAAAAGAGGGTGTCATTTGCTCTCCTCCTGCTTTTTATGTGCCGAAGTTATTTCAGAAACACACACGCTGAAAGTAAGCATAATCTTACTTTGGATATGTCCTGACTGTCAATGTGAATGCTACCCCCCTGAACATCATAGAAGCGGAAGAGGAGTCGGATGATGGTGCTCTTCCCGGACCCTGACGGTCCAACCTATGGAAGGTTCAACAAGAATTACCTTTTTTCTTCATAGAGATTACGTTCACACACTTGTTGTCGTACCAGGGCCACAGTCTGTCCAGGTAGTACTGTAAAGGAGACATCCTTGAGAACCTCCTTGCTGTAAAATGGGAACAACCACTGAGCGGAACTGCCCGTCATCATATGTTTGCATGGCAAAGCAGAGGGGAACCCACCCATTTGTATAACTGAAGTAAACATTCTCAAACTGAACTTTCCCCAGCTTGTAGTGAAAATCCACAGCATTTATAGCGTCTTTCACCTGCGTGCAATAAAGAGTTGTTTTAGGAAAGTGGGCATAACAGCTGTTGGAGTACTTGTGAGTTTCAGATGTACCTCCTCCTCTTCCTCAAAAAGCTTGATCATGCTTTCCATGTCAATGAATAAATTTTGGATCATTCTGGAACAATAAGAAAAAGTTGCTTGGATAACAGCAAATGATTGCTACCTAAAGCACAAGGAGTTGCATGTTCTTACCTGTAGTAGGTACCAAACCAGTTGAGAGGGGTATAGAGTTGGATGATGTATGTTCCAAACAGAACAAAATCACCAACCTGAGAGAACACATGGAGCAATTCAAGCTTGCATTGCTGAGACATTTATTCCAAACACCCAACTTCCCATGTGAATATCAGCACCTGAAACTTTCCTTCTGTCACAAAATAGGCAGAGAGCAGGGAGCCGGCGAGCAAACCTGCTCCGATGATCAGGTTCTGGGTTTGGTTGAGGAGGGCCAAGGAGGCCTGTGTCTTCCACTCTGATGACTACAGTGGGAAGATACCACAACCATTAGACACAGTGACTACATTATTTACATTAACCGGTGTACTGAAATTGTTCTTTTTCTCTGTTATGGCGCTTGGCCTGGGACGACTTACGTCTCCACTCACCTCGTGTGTTTGATTCTTTTATCTTGTATTGCATATTCATATCACAGAAAAGCTCCAAACCGCACATTATGTTGAGCTTGCATGGGATAAGGGAACACTTTTTGACAAATGGTGAGCTTCAGCTGAAGCTGAGATTTTCTCCTCTTTTCCAAATGGGAAATGACGCAGGCTTAGAATCCATTATGTTATTTCCGAATTTGTAAAACGGAGTCATAGTCGGTACTGTATATCATAGACCAGGGGCCCCCAACCTTTTTTGCCCCACGGACCGGTTTATGTCAGACAATATTTTCAGGGACCGGCATTTAAGGTGTGGCGGAAATAATACAACAAAATAATATGGTATGAGCTGCATGAAAACTGTGGTGTTTTCGAAATATAATAATAAACACAAGGAGCGTCTAATCTGGCCGCAACACTCCGATCGCTATGGCAATGTTTAATGCCTTCAAAATACGATACAACGCAAATTCAAAGTGCATGAAAATGACGACTCACCACAGCACCGAGCTTGATTTTCTGCAACCAGACGGTCCCATCTCGGGGTAATAGGAGAGACAATGACACCTCAAGTGTGTGGTTTATGTCCAGTCTACTTCGTAATTTTGTTTTCGTCGCCGTTGCTGCATAATCCCCCCCGCCTCACACAGGTAGGATGTCGGAAATAGCAAAAGTGCTATTGTGGCGATCTCAGAGTATTCAGCCATAACTTTAATCCAGTTGTCTCGAACGTACTTTTAAGGCCGCCGTCATTTGCGATCTCCAGCAGTTTTTTTACTCATTTTGCGAGCTCCGGTGTTTGTTTTTAGCCTAATTGGTCGCGTTACGGAGAAGCGTGGCTTGACGTGTGTCAAGCTGGACACAGACGGATGTAACGGAGAATCCGGTAAGTTTTCAAAATAAAACATCTTTCGTATTCCGAAATAAATAAAACGGAATTAAGGCAAGTTCTTTCTGTGCGGCCCGGTACCAAATGCCCGGCGGACCGGTACCGGTCTGCGGACCGGCGGTTGGGGACCCCTGTCATAGACAACACGTGATTGGACATATTTCTCTTAACTATGAGAGGCTTGGAGGATAAATACGGACCATAACCCCTATTGTCCAGAAGGCCACGTGTGGAATATATTAATTGTTCCTTAGTTCTGTGTGGGAATTATGTCAAAACCACCATATTAGTCGATATAAATTTGTAGCATTCGACATTAAATGTCATATTGAAGTGAAAGTACACCTTTTTCACAACCCCTAGGTACTACCATGCGATGAACTGTCTTTAGCCGAGCAATCAATATACGTGGGCTGTTTCATACCTGGTATTTCAAAATGGCGTCCTCAAAGCGGCTGACTTCATAGTTTTCTGCATTGTAGTATTTCACCGTCTCAAAGTTCAGCAAGGAGTCGACAGCCTTCGTCTTAGCAATGTTGTCCTGCTGATTCATATCCCGTCTGTACTTGGTCCTCCACTCTGTGATAATGATGGTCAAAGCTGGTGGACAGACATAAAATTTTTCACTGGGAGTGACAGCTGAGAAAAATTGAGGATCTCTGAAGCAACAACTGATGTTACTCACTGAGGTAGAGGGTCATGCACACAAAGACAATGAGGCCAAACCACGCGTTGAAATTGGTGATAAAGTAAATGATGGATATAACAATGTCAGCAATTGTTGGGACGATGCTGAACACAATGTAGCTGTGGAGAAAAACATATCTTTCAGTCAAATTTCCCTACTTTAGCATGAAAAACAAACAACCAAACACTGTGCACACAGTAGTTATTTGTGAAAAAAATTGTAAAATGTATATGTACAATATTTTTTACACTATGTAGTACTATACTAAAAGTATCAATAGGATTTTATCATTCATAATAAAACAATAAACTAAATTATTTTAAATTGAAATCATATATTTCAATTCACGTAGATTAGGCCAAAATGATTCAAACCACAAAGCCATTGAAGGAGAGCAGACCTTTGAATAAATATTGTTATTCCTGCAGCATGGCATATTGAAAACAGAAAACATCGGTGTGGGATGATAGTTTTGTGACGCCTGAATATCCCCGATCCATCTGCTGGATCAGTTGAGTCATTGACGAATTTGGCCTCAATCACATCGTACCGTAGAATGTGAAATGGAAATTTGTTTATCTGCAGCTTTTAACTACTGTAGTAAAAGACAAGAGTGGCTGAAACAACTAAAAATACAGCAGTTTGTTGACTTCATTAGTGTAGCCATCCCACCTGAGCAAGCTGTTGACGGACGAGGTGCCACGGTCGATGCTTCTCAGCACGTCGCCGGTTTTGCGGCCCAGGTGCCAGCGTAATGAGAGGGCGTGCAGGTGGGCAAAGAGACGTACTTGCACCATACGGTTGGTGAACTGCTGCACTCGGATCCACAGGAAGGAGCGCAAGTTGCTGACAAAACCCGAGGCGCCTGCAAGAGAAGGTCATCGTGGTCTTGAATGACGCATACACTTTTCACCTTAATTTTTATGTCACAAAATATTTGTCTCTTGATGTTGTTACACGGTGAAGTAGAGTTGGTGGTTCATAGATAAATAGTTTTAACATATGGTGCTTTGCATGGACCTTTTCTGGTTTAATATGGGAATATCAATGCAGGCCTACTAGTCAAAACATGCTCCACACATTGTGTGTGTGTGTGTGGGGGGGGGGGGGCTCATAAGCGGTGTGTTAATGTGTGCAGGTGGGTACTTGCACACTTAGTAAGGGACCGATGCACACACTCTTACATGAAACCCAAGAACTAACTCAGCATCTAGTGTGTGAAAAGGTCTGTCATACCTGCACCTCCGCCCTGCATGAACTTTAGCAGGACATAAATACACACAGTGGTTGTCAGAGTGTTCCAGCTGGTGCCATCAGTCAGTTCATTGACTGAGAAGGGGAAGAAGACAGAAAAGTAATGATTAAAAACATGAAGCATCAGGTAAAGACAAACCACTCCTGTTGGTATACACACCTATATTTTTGTAGTAAATTGGAACAAAGACGTTGATTGCCCTCTCAACTCCCAGCAGCACCAAACAGAAGAGGACAAGCAGCTGGAGCCAGACATTGCCCCGAGGCCACATGTAAGGTAACAGAAGCTTGGCCTTCTGCGTGAAGCCCTGCCAAGTCGATTGGTTCTCATCTGGTCTGCCCAAGAGGCTCTGAGACGGTGACAAGAAGCCAGTCAAAATTACCGAATGGACTACTGTAGAGAGAATGTGTTTAGTTTTTGTTTTTTTGCTCATCATTACCTGTCCACTCTGCTCAATGTCACGCTCATCTTCATTTATAAGCAGCATGTATGGTCTCTTTGGAAGCCCTGGGGCCTTAAGACCAACAAGGAAGAGCAGTGCTGTGCCCACATAGCGCATCAGCCATAAGCCAAACTGCACCTAAGAGATTTCATGGACAGTTAGAATAAACATCAATCTGAACGTTAAACTGTAAATGACTTAAGGCTGTCCACATGAGGCATGCCACGTTTTAAGTCGTTGGAGTGGGAGGGGCAAGATGTGGCCTCTTACTGACTGTTTCTGGTAGTTGAACATTAGACAGTGACTCAGCAAAAAAAGGAGCAGAGCCTGCATCTCACAGCCCTTAATCGAAAGTACTTTTTACATCACCGCAAGTCAGGGCGGCAATCTCATTATACAGGACTGACAACATTGACTCTGAGGGAATAACACACCTATTGTAAACAAACATACTCTGACCCACTAAACTGTCAGGCAAGTCCTCACTATTAAATATTAACACTAAATTGATGCAACGAGCAATGTACGATACTTTGACCCACACCAATTTGAACAAAAAAATGATCACATTACTGCGGGGAGGAAGAGACTTTCATGGTAAAAACCCAAGTGAAGACACACACCGGCTACAATCTAACGAGATTTATGACAAAAACTGCATCAAAATAGCTACCTTTACAATGATAATAATATTCAGTTTTAATCGACAGGTTCAGACAGGTATTTATTATTGTGGTTGTTATTTGCAGTGTGGTTGACCACGTTGCATCATACTAATGTTTCTGTTGTTTCAAATAATTCGGTCACCTTCAGTTTACCAACATGAGAGGGGCAAAAATATTACAGATCTGTATGTTGCAGTACAATTTTACATTACTGTCCTGCAAAAATAAACATTCTTGGGTCTATAAGATTGTTTTGGTGCACCTAGTGTTTTGCCCAATATTTCAGTGTCTCTCACCAGTTGCTGATTGTCTTCCAGGCCCCACCACCAGTGAGGACTGAACCAGGAGACGAATGCCAGGTTCTCAGCTGCAAACGCTGTCGCCCAGAACAGTAGTAGCGCTGCGCTGTGGCCCCGTGTTCGATCCATGACCAGAGCCCTGCGCCTCTCCACAATAAGCAAGGCAAGCCCCCAAACCCAGGCTATGGCAGAGAAGCAGCCATAGAGCACCACATAGCCTGGGAGCTGGTCTCCTTGGGTGGCTCGCCAAACCATCCCACCCAGAAACTGAACCAAGACAAGGCTAGAAATGGCCACTTGGAACCTGTAGAGACGCGAGCGGGGGATGAACTTGGGCTCCATTGCTGTGCCATACTTCTGGTAGAAGATGAAGTGGACGGTGCCGAGGAAGATAGAGATGGTGAGCAGGACAGCAGGGACCAGAGTGAAGTAAAAGCAGGGGGCGATTCCTTCGTCCACCCACGTGTGGGAGATGGGAAATCCGGCTTCACAATAGCTGTGTACTAACACCATGACTACTGTCGGGAAAAGCCAGAAAACACACCGGACGATTTGAGCACGTAATGTTGTTGCTGGTTTTGCTTTACAACCACATCACATCCCAAAACTGAAAGAGACATACAAATGTCGTAACTCTCATACTGTTCAGCGTTCTGTCAAGTGCAACAATTACCTTGTTTGAGCTCTACTGACCAATTCACACGCTCCAAGTGTCAGTAGCAGAGCTTAGTATAAAGAAGCTAGCAGATGTCCTAGCTTGCCTTATCCGATCCAAACAACTTGAAGGCGACCAACATTAGAGCGTCTGGCGTACAAACTGACTTGTGAGTCATCGGTTCTGTCCGTGGTTGGTTATCGCGCTGCTCGGTGACAACACGCCTGTTCGACAACACACTAAACAACCTTGGCAATTGACGTCAGTTTTACACAACCGACTTACAGAACGTCCCTTAGCATTCAGCGCCCTCAAGAGGAGATGAAGAAATCATCATCATGTTCTCCTGTTCGTTCGGGGATGGCATCATGGCAAGCTAGCACCAGCTTCATGATGCATTACCGCCTCCAGCGAGACTGGAGTGTGGACTGAGAGAACGTGCAGGAAGAACGAAGAATTGACGACAACAACAAGGAAAAATACATCATAAAAACATTATAACAGCATGAACACCATTGGATTATTTTGGCGAATCTGTCTACTTCTAAATGAGTAAAAGGTGAATGGCTTTTACTGACTCTGGATAGCTCTTTAACAGTCTTACCATTCACATCCTGCTGCCACAGCATCAAGAGAAACTGGGGGATCAGAAATCTTCCTTCAGAACACAGTGACATGGCGTTAATTAAGATACCCTTTACCCAAATATATGATTTACATTTACCCACTGAAAGTGGCTGCGAATTGTGACTATACATTTATTGAGTGGATTCTATCAGGTATTTTTACAGCATATATTTATTGAGGGGCGGTCGACTGGTTAGCACAGGCCTCACAGTGCAGAGTTGCAGGGTTAGAAACCGGCTCCGGCTTTCCTGTGTGGAGTTTGCGTGTTTACCCTGTGCCTGCATGGGATTTCACCGGGTACTCCGGTTTCCTCCCACATTCCAAAGACATACACCATAGGTTAATGGAGCACTCTAAATTGTCCCCAGGTGTGACTGTGAGTGTGAATGTTTTTTTGTCCATATGTGCCCTGCAATTGGCTGGCAACCAGTTCAGGGTGTGCCCTGACTGCTGCCCGGACACATTTGGGATAGGCTCCAGCACGCAAGAAAATGGATGGATGGATAGATGGATGAAAAAGATTTGCTGTGGTGCTGTCTCGTGGGTCAGAGAATGGATGGATGGATATTTGAGACAAAGATTACAGCAGTACAAGTATTTACATAAATCTTTAATTATAAAACCTTATCCAGTTTTATAATTAAATGACATAATTACTTTTATAATTGAATTATAAATTATAAGAGGATTGGAAAATGGATTGATATTTATTGAGTAGATAATACCGTTGTTTTTTTTTTTGCGTGTAGGAACATTTTACTTTTTTTTTCTAGATCACGCTTGTTCCTGACATAAATTAGGTAGTGTATAAATTACCCATTGTTTTATCACTCCTGTTCTGCCTAACATAACCAGATTCATTTGACATGTTTTTCGCGGGTATTATTTAATTTTTTTACAGTGTTGTATCGCCTAAAGTAACAAATGTCGGGGTTGTGCTGAAGCCTATGCCAGCTGTCTTTGACTGAGGTGCGAGGTACACCCTGAACTGGTCGCCATCTTATCTCACACTCACATTCCCACTAGTTAACAAAAAAAAAGTAATGCCTGCGATATTATAATTTGACCGTTAGATGGGGCTAAATACAAATGCATAAATGGTGACAGAGAATAAATCAAACGCGACCGCCCACACACCGGCCCAAATAGGTACTGAAAAAGAATGCTACAGAACTACTGTGACATGATAGACGGCACATAATATAAATGCAATTTCACACAGATAACTTAGAGTGCCGTCTCATACTGTACAGGAAAAAGAGGATAGGCAGTTTCCTGTAATTTAAAATTCAAGTGTTCTGAAAAAAAATGCCTGAAAAGCCAGCTGTCTCATCTGGCCTTTGAATGGGGATTAATGAAAGGCTCAGAAGAAAGTGAGTATATACCTGCATATGAAAGGAAGGAAATAAAGAGGATCATCTTTTCCCGATGGGAGAGTGCAAAGGATTTGGGAAAGACACACACACACACACACACACACACACACACACACACACACACACACACACACACACACACAGAGCACAGTGTAAAATCTTTCCATTTAGACTAAAGCCTTCACAATGGTCACACAGCTTTGTTAATCTGCTTCATTGCCACGGTTCTTTTGTGCGAGTGGAAATGGACCTTCTGTCCACCGGCTGGTTGTCACCCCACTCTTTTGTCCTCCTCAAGATGTGACGGCCTGCCCATCACAGCCCTCATCTTCCACTCCTTTTGTGAGCCTTTCTGACTTTAGCATAGACATTCGGTTGGATCTAACACATCTGGAAGGTGGGCTTTTTGTCTCTCATTCTCCTATCGCTTCACTTGTGGCCGAGCGGCACATATGGACTGTGACAGGTTGAGATGAGAAGAATGTGGACCTTAATCTAATCCTGTGATTTAGCCCGAAAAGAATACTATCAGTCGTGTTGGGAATGCTGCTTCCAATCTCATTAGTCACAAGGGAGATCAATAAAGCTTTCAGTTGCGTTAGATTGTAGTACTCACGATAGAAGCTTTGTGAAATCAGTCCTTGTTTTGCAATCTCTAATACTCAGCCATGATCAATCTATTGTGTAGCCCACACTGCACAAGCATGAAGGCAGCTGGAAAAGTCAGAAACAGCAAGGGGCATTGTATTTATTCAGTTTTTTTTTCTGTGGGAGGTTATAGGGGACACGTAAAATGTACATTTTGTTATGATGTGTGTTTTTAAGTTTTGGTTTTGGTTTACTCTGAAACAGCACCACAACATTTGTGTTTTGGTCTTAGTATTGGTGTGCTATCATGAGTTTTGTGTTTCTGCATGGGTCTCTTGTTCATGCCTTCCCTGTCTACTTGTAATGTCTTTGTTTCCACTTGGTTACATCAGTTTTGCTCCCTTAATATCAACCAATCAGCTCCTTCCAGTCACTTGTGTTTTGTCATGGTGTGCCTAATTGTTTCATAAGTCTGTTTATTTATTTCCCGGTTTTCATTCACCCTGTCTCTGGTCATTGTCACCGGTCTTCTGTGTGTCATGATTCGGTTTGGGACCAACAGGTGGCACTGTAGGGCTCCCCTGCAGCTGCACACCTGTTGGTCATTAGGTAATTAGTGCTTTAAAAGGACTCCCAGCCCAACCACTCATGGTCAGGTCATTGTTGCGCTTTGCTACTGTCATGTTTGTTTGTTGCTGTTTCTCTGCTGCTGTCAGGTTTGTTTTGGTCATGGTTCTGTTTTAGCTTCAGTTATGATTTTTGTTTGCTACTTTGGACTATGTTTGTTTTGGATTTAGTTTTCTCTGTTTTAATACACTTCATCAAGTACACCCTGCTCCTCCCTCCTGCCTGCTTTTTTTGGGGTCCACCACCACCTCGCATACGTGACACTGTGGTGGCGTGTCTGTGTTTCTTTGTTCATTTTGCATTTTGAATGTTTCATGTTTGTTTGGGGGTGAACTTTTCTAATTATATTTGATTGTGGCACTCAGTCTCTTTGTTGCTTTTTGCAAATAAATTCCTGAATTAAGACTCCCCTCAACCCATACCCAACATTGCCTGCTTTGCTGCGCTTACATCCACCTTCCTTGCTATATGTGTGCGTGCACTGCACTACACCAGTGGTCACCAATCTTTTTTTTGTTTGCCATGGACCGGTTCAAAGTCTCTCATTATACCAGTCGGAACTGTTATAAAAAATAGTGGTAATTGCAGTTCCTTCAAACATATTAAACCCGTGTGTGTGTGTGTGTGTGTGTGTGTGTGTGAGAGGCGACATGCACTGATTGCATGCTGGCAGTGTCCAACTGTCGATTCCCTCCAGGTTGTGGTCCGACTGTGTATGTGTGGGAGGGGCCTTCAAGGTACAGTAGATGCACATGGAGATGAGGACTTTCAGTGAGCATGGGTGGATTATTTATTTGATTTGGGGTCATGGAAATTACAAGAAGCATCTTTTTGCTGATAAGGAACTGATGCTCTGATGTGTTGTAAATGTATTGCAAATGTGTTTTTTAAGATATGCTTTATATATTTGTCCCGCACTGGGGAAATTTACTTTTTGTGTCAGGCACTACCTTTACAATGGCATCCATCTTCCATTTTTTTAGCACTTGTCTTCATCCACACTGGGCTCATAAGTGAGTCGTGGGGTGCACCCAGGACTGGTTTCCAGCCTTCACACTCGCATTAAAACCTCATATACTGTAGCTGTTTTAATATGCATGAGTTGGTAGTGGTCGAGGAACCCGGAACACTCCAAATAAACCATGCTGAGAACCAAGCTCGGACCAATAGCAAGTAAAAATATTTATATGTGCATAAGTAAAATATCTCAAAGCACATGAGTGCATGGGCCTCATATAAGGGTGCATCTTAATGAATTATACTATGAAAAAAAATCTGTACTTCTATTCAATCAGGAAAACTGCATATGGTTAAACTTACCAAACCCATGAAGATACAAATTCAGAAGGCAAATTATCTAATTTCTGTTATTTGTTGTGTAAGATTATAAAATCTACAGATGGCAAATTCAGTTTTTTGTTCAATAATCATGTAAGCACTGAACTATAATCATGACCATTCTAAAAAAGAAATTGAAATGTTTCACCGTGTCGTGAACCTTTCGAACGAGTACAATTCTTCAATTGAACTACTGGAACTAATTAGGTTTTCCTCAAGAATTTAATTAATTCGGATGCACCTGTGAGTTTTAAACAGCAGACTCATTTTGCACCGACTATCTTTGGCATATCATGCTGTAAGGTGCAACATGCTTCAGCCATGCCAACGCTTCAGGTTGTTTTCACAACACCAAGAGGTGAACATGTTCCACAGGCAGAGATGGCAGTTCTCAGGCTGTTCCTGCAAAACAAGTACACAAGCAGGTTTTCCCCATGCACTTGAGACACACACAACCTCTACAAATTACAAACACACAGCTTCCAACCAACCAACCAATCAACCACTTATACACTTATTTTTCCTCCCCAGGTGTATTTGGAGGGAAACGAGGGTGGGGTGGTGCATACTCCCTTGCCTCCTTCCTCTGAGAATTTTTGCATTTACAAATAATCCCATGATGACGGCAAGTCAAAACAGTTGCAACAAAGGAAAGGCAGGATATTGATTTGACATTTGTCAGAGGATTTATCTGCTGTCATTCTCCCTGTTTTACGTCCGTGCCTGGACTTGGTCATGGGAGGAAGGTCTTTTGTGTTGCTTGCTTACTTGATTCTGATGTGTTTACTTGACTTCATTCATGCGTCTCAGTACCGTGGTACTGTTATGTCTCGGGGGATGCAAACTGTAACTCGAGAAGGACTGATAAGCAAAACGAGCAAGCCCCTATTCTTCTTG